ATCACTTGAAGTCAGGAGTTTGAGACCAGCCTGGCCAACATGGTGAAAACCCATCTGTACTAAAAACACAAAAATTAGTCAGGCATGGTGGAGCACACCTGTAGTCCCAGCTACTCAGGAGCCTGAGGCAGGAGAATCGCTTGAACTTAGGAGGTGGAAGTTGCAGTGAGCCAAGATCGTGCCATTGCACTCTAGCCTGGGCAACAGAGTGAGACTCCATCACAAAAAAATAAAGAAAAAGAAAAACATTTAAAAATCAGGAAAAAGTAGATATCTGTATTGGTCAAAATACGGAAAGAAATATGAGGGACAGGCCTGGTGCAGTGGCTGAGGCAGGCAGATCACAAGGTCAGAAGTTCGAGACCAGCCTGACCAACATGGTGAAACCCCATCTCTACTAAAAATATAAAAATTAGCTGGGCGTAGTGGCACCCACGTGTAATCCCAGCTACTCAGGAGGCTGAGGCAGGAGAATTGCTTGAACCCAGGAGTCGGAGGTTGCAGTGAGCCAAGATCACACCACTGCATTCCAGCCTGGGCAACAGAGTGAGACTTTGTCTCAAAACAAAAACAAAAACAAAACAAAAAACAGCTAAAACAATAGTTGCTTTGGGGAGTGGGAATCAGTTGATGGCAAGACAGAATATGGCCTTTTTTTTTTTTTTTTTTTAACTTTGCCATATGCCTAATTGATTTGTAAAAAATTTATTACATGTATTTTGATTAAAAACATGTTTTAGAAAAAATAAAGGAAATAAAATATTGCAGAAAAATGGAAGGTCCCTGGGGTAGCATTTGCTACCTTGGTGAATTCATCACCATCCTGGGTCCAGCTTTGAAACCAGAGCTGTTAGCCCTAAAAGCAGCAGCATCTCTACAGAACAGACACACATTAACCAGGCTCATGAGACTGATATTTCAAATCAGATGCCAATTCATTAATTTATAAGAGGAAGCAGGGCTTTGAAGCAGACTGGATCTTCCTGTTCAATGATGAGTGCATTCTCTCCCTGTGGACTGATCTACATAGGAAACGGAACAGTTTTTAGAGGGTTGCTTGGTGATCCAGAGCATGAGTGAGGTAGGGGGTGAATTGAGTGGCTCCAAAGAATGGTACTTCCATCTCCCCTGTTCCTGGACCAGCATCTTTGTCCCCAGAGAATATTCATTGCTGGTGATTGTCTTGGCAACTCTCCCTGATCTCTGGCTTCCTTGGCTGCCCAGACCCTCTTGACTGGCACCCTCTTTCTTTAGCTGCATTAATACTTTTAACTAGGTTATAGTCTAGACTGGGCCTGAGAGTTATTCTGTCTCTATAAGGTATAGTTTGGCTCTGTGTCCCTAAACAAATCTCATCTCGAATTGTAATCCCCACGTGTCCAGAGAGAAACCTGGTAGGAGGTGATTGGATCATGGGGGCAGTTTCCCCCATGCTGTTATTATGACTGTGAGTTTATAAATGGCAGTTTTTCCTGCACTCACACACTTTCCTGCTGCCTTGTGAAGAAGGTGCTTGCTTCTCCTTCCCCTTCTGCACTAATTGTAAGTTTCCTGAGGCCTCCCCAGCCATGCGGAACTATGAGTCAATTAAACCTCTTTTGATTATAAATTATTCAATCTCAGGTATTTCTTTACAGCAGTGTGAAAACAGACTAATACAATTGGCATATCTCTACTTTAAAGCATTAGAGGTGGGGTGTGGTGGCTCACATCTGTAATCCCAGCACTTTGAGAGGCCAAGGTAGGAGGATCACTTGGGCACAGGAGTTTGAGACCAGCCTGAGCAGCATAGGGAGACCCCGTCTCCACAAAAAATTAGCCAGGTGTGGTGGCGCATGCCTCCTATTGTCCCAGTTACTCAGGAGGCTGATATGGGAGGATCCCTGGAGCCCAGGAAGTCAAGGCTGCAGTGAGCCATGATTGCACCACCGCACTCCAGTCTGGGCAACAGAGTGAGACCCTGTCTCAAAAAATCATAACAACATAATTCAGAGCCAAGGTGAGTGGATCATTTGAGGTCAGGAGTTCAAGACCAGCCTGGCCAACATGGTGAAACCCGGTCTCCACTAAAAATACAAAAAATTAGGGAGGATAGGGGAGGTATAGCATTAGGAGAAATACCTAAAGTAAATGACGAGTTAACAGGTACAGTGCATCAACATGGCACATGTATACATATGTAACAAACCTGCACATTGTGCACATGTACCCTAGAACTTAAAGCATAAAAAAAAAAAAAAAAGGAACAGAAGCAGTATGACCTTTAAAAAAAAATTAGCTGGGCGTGGTGGCAGGTGCCTGTAATCCCAGCTACTTGGGAGGCTGAGGCAGGAGAATCGCTTGAACCGGGGAGGCGGAGGTTGCAGTGAGCCGAGATTGTACCACTGCACTCTAGCCTAGGCAATAGAGACTTGTCTAAATAAATAAATAAATAAATAATAAAACGCAAAAACTAAAGCATTAGAGTTTTGCGTTCAGTCATATACTTAGCACCCATGATGTGCCAGGCTCTGTTCTAAAGCCCTAGGGTACAGCAGTGAATAATTTTGTGTTCAGTCATATACTCAGCACTCATGATGTGCCAGGCTCTGTTCTCCAGCCCTGGAGTACAGCAGTGAATAAGGCTGACATTTGTGTGCCCTCACTGAGTTTACAGTCTGACAAGGAAGACATAAAACAAACAAAAGTATTCAAAGTGAAGAAGCAGTGCAACTCTCAGAAGACAACTTAATTTCCTTTTTCCTACTTCTTGAGGAGGGGCAGCACCTCCTGGTTGCCCCCAGATATCATCTACAATGAAACCATGGGAGGAGCTGCAGGGTGGGGGCTGTAGTCTAGGTGAGGAAGGCCCATTCTCCAAATGTAAATTTCCAGCCTCCCTTGAGGTCTATACCACCAATTATTCCAATAAAGTTATTTTCTACTTACATTTGTCTAAGGTTGGTTTTTGTTTTGTTTTGTTTTGTTTTGAGACGGAGTCTCGCTCTGTCGCCCAGGCTGGAGTGCAGTGGTGCCATCTCAGCTCACCGCAAGCTCCGCCTCCTGGGTTCACGCCATTCTCCTGCCTCAGCCTCCGGAGTAGCTGGAACTACAGGTGCCCGCCACGACACCCAGTTAATTTTTTTGTATTTTTAGTAGAGATGGGGTTTCACTGTGTTAACCAGGATGGTCTCGATCTCCTGACCTTGTGATCCGCCTGCCTCGGCCCCACAAAGTGCTGAGATTACAGGCATGAGCCACCGTGCCCGGCCTAAGGTTGGTTTTTGTTATTTGTAACCAATAACCCAGACTAGTACGGCAACCATCTCAGACATCTGCGGACCAGAGAAAAGTCACTAAAAGACAATCCAACGTCTGCGTCTTGGGGCGCAACCAAACCTGGAACCCTTCTAATTTGTGGCTTCCGTTTAGCACAAAGCAGGGCACACAAGCTCTCTCAATGAAATCTGGTTGGCTGAGTCTCTCAGTCAGTTAGTTCACAAATGTCTGCCAGAAGCTGTTCTATGTGCAGAAATCACAAAGCAAGTAAGAGCAGGTTTCTGCCTTCAAGGATATCCCACATGCAGCCCAGACCCAACGTATCTAAAACGGAAGGCTGTCATTTTCCCTGCCTTCTCTCCCAACCCATGTAACAACTCACATTCGGGTCCCATGCTCCAACCACATTGAATTGCTTGCCCTTCTCACTTCCGTCTGCCAACAGTGAGTAGTTTGGTGTTCTTAGATCACAGGGGTGGGAGGGAAAGAGAGAGATAGCAGGTAATCAGGCTGGGGTAGACAGACACCAGACCTTGATGCCAGGTGGAGGAATCTAGATGTATTGGCTGCTGTCCCAAGTTACTCTCCTCTGGCCTAAATCTCAGACTGGCCATATAGTTTAATTTTTTCTCTTCCACCAAAGGTCATCTGTGTAGAAGATGACACAAAGGGGAACCCAGCACGGTGGTCCATGCCTGTAATCCCTACACTTTCGGAGTCTAAGGAAGGAGGATCATTTGAGCCCAGGAGTTCGAGGCTGAGGCGAGTCATGATCGAGTCACTGCACTCCAGCCTTGACGCTGAGTGAGACCCTGTCTCTTAAAAAAATATTAAAAATTTAAAAAAGTTATACAGAGGGGTTATCTATCATCTTGGCCAGCGATGCCGGGCAAAACTTGAAACAACTTGGTCCTGCAGTATTTTCCAGATGCCAATTCCTCATTCTCTTTTCTCTACTGTGCAGCTCGTACAGTGTTTTGTGTGAGAAGAGAGGGAGCACAGCGGGTCTCAGCCCTGGCTTTGCCCTGGGAAAAATTCCTCCTCACTTCTGCACCGCCCTACCGAAAGCAGGGGCTAAGCCAGCGCCGTCTGCGTCTCCTCCTGGCCCAGGCCCCTTCCCTAGATGCTCTATTTCCCTAAAGCCTCACAACAACCCTGTGAGGTAAGCATTACCATCCCTTCGTTTTATAGATGAAACTGAGGCTCAGGAGGGTTACGTTTCAGGCTCTAAAGCCCGGCATCTTCGCTTCGATGCCGTCCAGGCTTAGGCCACCGAGCTTAAGAAATGGGCCGACGGGTGTGACCAGACGGACGCCGGAACCAACCCAAGTTCAGGGCTGAGGGCCGCCAGGTGGCGCGTTTCCCTCCTCCCCCCGCGGCGGCTCGGGCGCACCTGAACCCAGCGGGGCGCGCCGGGGAAAGTAGGCGCGCAGGGTGGAGCGGGGAGTAGCCCTAATTCTCCAACTCGGAGTGGGCAAGGAGCATGGTTTACTTCAGCCGTCTGGCACTGCCAGCACCTCGATAGAGTCACGCCTCCACCAGGCGGCTGCCGGGCCCCATCAGCCCGCCTCCTGTTTGCGCTTCCCAGCGTGCAATTTATTTGGGGGGCTACCGGGGATAGAACGGAGTGGGCGAGCGCTGCCAGGAGGTGGGGCCGGCCCCACCTGTCGACTGCCTGGAGTGGGCAGGGAGGGGGCGGGGTTTGTTCCATAGGGCCCGCCCCCCAGTCCCTGGGTCCCGGGCGCGCGACGAGATATAAGGCAGCCAGGAAACAATGCGCCTGCAGCTCGCGCTCCCGCGCCGATCCCGAGAGCGTCCGGGCCACCGTGCGCGAGCGAGGGAGGGGGCGCGCGCGCGGGGGGCGCGCTCGTGAGTGCGGGCCGCGCTCTCGGCGGCGCGCATGTGCGTGTGTGCGGGCTGCCGGGCTGCCCCGAGCCGGCGGGGAGCCTGTCCGCTCCAGGAGGCGGGCGGCGGGAGCGAGGTGAGGCTGCGGGTGGCCCGGGCACGGGAGCGGGTCCCGCGGTGCGGGCTGGCTGCAGGGTGCCTTCTGAGCACGGCGCGCCCCCACCCGGCCCCGCCGGGCCCTGGGAGCTGCGCTCCGGGCGGCGCTGGCAAAGTTTGCTTTGAACTCGCTGCCCGCAGCCGGGTCCGCGCTCTGCGATTGGCTTCCCCTGCCACTCTGACCCGGGGCCCGGCTTCCCGGTACGCGAGGACTGGGCGCAGGCTGTAAGCCGGTGGGGTTGGGGAGGAACGAGAGCCGGGCAGCCGGCTGTGCCGAGGGACCCGGGGACGCCTCCTTTGCCCGGCCGGCACCCGGTCAGCACGTCCCCATTTCCCTCCCGCAGGGAGCGGACATGGACTACGACTCGTACCAGCACTATTTCTACGACTATGACTGCGGGGAGGATTTCTACCGCTCCACGGCGCCCAGCGAGGACATCTGGAAGAAATTCGAGCTGGTGCCATCGCCCCCCACGTCGCCGCCCTGGGGCTTGGGTCCGGGCGCAGGGGACCCGGCCCCCGGGATTGGTCCCCCGGAGCCGTGGCCCGGAGGGTGCACCGGGGACGAAGCGGAATCCCGGGGCCACTCTAAAGGTTGGGGCAGGAACTACGCCTCCATCATCCGCCGTGACTGCATGTGGAGCGGCTTCTCGGCCCGGGAACGGCTGGAGAGAGCTGTGAGCGACCGGCTCGCCGCTGGCGCGCCCCGGGGGAACCCGCCCAAGGCGTCCGCCGCCCCGGACTGCACTCCCAGCCTCGAAGCCGGCAACCCGGCGCCCGCCGCCCCCTGTCCGCTGGGCGAACCCAAGACCCAGGCCTGCTCCGGGTCCGAGAGCCCAAGCGACTCGGGTAAGGACCTCCCCGAGACATCCAAGAGGGGGCCACCCCATGGGTGGCCAAAGCTCTGCCCCTGCCTGAGGTCAGGCACTGGCTCTTCTCAAGCTCTTGGGCCATCTCCCCCTCTCTTTGGCTGAAGCTGCCCGTGTAGCCCCCAACCGTGTATGTCTGGCACGTGGGTGTGTTGGTAAACAGTTTGGAGAAGTGGCGTGGGAGCCAGCGTCCCTTTGATGATTATTGGAGCCCCAGGGGACCAGGGATATGTGGTGAGGTTTGGCGCTTAGAGAGGACAATACTGGGGTTGGACTGTAAGGGATTTCTGTCCTAACGAGTCCAGAAGGGAGTCCTTTAAGAGTCACTCCAAGCCTGAAGTTTTTTTGCTGCTGCCTCTTTCCCTGGGAAACTCACACTCCCCTAGGGGGAGAAGAAGCTGAGAGCCTTTTGTGCAAAGCCAAAGCCCATCCTTTTAAAAAACTAGGTCTCCAGTTGGCTTTACTTAAAAATGCCAATAATAAATGCCCTCTTGTGCCTCCCCACCACCACTTACCACTCGTGCATCCCTGAGACAGGAAGGGAAGAATGAACACTCCCCATTAACAGATGGAAAAACTGAGGCTTAGAGATAGAAAATCACTACTAGTCAGCTCCAGCTTTCTGCCATCTAGCCAGCCCCTCTTCCCCAGTGCTCCATCCCAACCAGGCACCTCTTCCTTGATGTTTGGGTCTTTGTGGTAGCTTATCTTAGAGGCACTACACCTTGCCTTGCTGTTTGTCCTAAGATGGAAAAGTGTCCTTCTCGCTCCCTTTCAATACATCTCCAGTTTCAGCTGCTCGCTTGCATTCAACAAATATTCACTGGCCCCTACTTTGTGGCAACCTGTGGGCTACGTGCTGGGGTCAAGGCTATAGAGCTCCAGGCCCTCCTCTCCCATCCTTGATGCAAGGGCAAACCTCACTGAGGGCAGACTAGGGCATCCTGTGCCACTAAACTACATTGTTATTGTTCTGGCATCTTAGACCTCCACACCCATGAGAAATACTGGAGAGGGTATTTTTGTAGAGTGTAGACTGAGGCTGGTGACAAATAAATCAGGACCAAGAAAACTCACTGTAGCTTTTAGGAATAACTTTTACATGACAATTCGATAGGGAACTGGGGAATGGGGTATGGAAGTTGTCATACACTTGAGAGGAAAAATAGGATAACAAGAAAAATTAAAAGTCTTTTTTTTTTTTTCCTGGTCCACTGTGTTAAGGTCGTTTTTAACCGGCTTGCTTTCTACACCAAGAGTTTATGTTCGTTTGATGGCTGGAAAGAATCTTGAGATCAAAAAACCAATAAAGATATATCTCTACACTGGCTGGTGGAGTGGTAGAGTGGAATGAGCATTGTTTTGGAAGTTTGGACGTTTTAGTTTGAGATCCAGAAAGTTACAAAGGTGGTATGTGGACTTGGCTGATCTGGGCCTCAATTTCCCCATTTGCGCACAATGGGGTTGGACTTGATTGTCCTGCTGAAGACATTTCCTTGTCTGGGTAGAGTAAGACACTACTCTCTGAAAGGGAGAATGGTGTCTTAAATTATTTCTTTCTTAGATAGAATCTTCCTGAGCCACGAGACTTAACACTGAAAATTAAAGGTTTGGGATGTAGGGAAGCCTGCCGAATCCTTTTCTGACCTACCCTTTAACCTGAACCTGTTTGTGAGCTTCTGGTTCACTCACAGGCCACATGGCCTGGAACAAAATGCAACAGATTGCAAACAATGAGGCGGGGGGTGGGGAAAGTGATTGGCAGCAGAGCTCATCCAATAGAGGCTAGGGGCTGGGTAAGACAGCATTCCAAACACAGCGTAATCATCCAATCATGGGCTTTGGGGCCAGGAGGGCTGAGTGGTCAGGTTTTATTAATGGAGAAATAATGCGATTGTCCACACAATGGAAGCCTTCCTGACAAAGGGGCTCAAGCTTCCTGGTATGCAAAGAAGCTGAGAACGGAGCTCTTCGGTTGTGAGGCCTAGATCCATTAAGGTGGGCTTCTGTGTGGAGGCCGCAAAATGTGTGGAGCAGGAGGAGAGTTTTCTCCCAATTGCCCCTCTCCTGGTTAGGTAAACCTAAGAGACCTTCAAGCCAGCGAATGATAAGGGCATGTCCACGTGTCTCCTGGTCTCTGGTGTTTTGGGCCCCATATCTGGGACATTCTGCTGCCCAGTCTCCGCCTCTGGTGCAGGTAGTTTGGAAATGGTCGCTTGTACCTTTGTGAAGTTCCTGCAGCTTCGCCGACCTGTGATTACAAATCTAACCTTCTGGTCCAGGGAAGGAGGTGGGGCAGGCGACCTATAAATGATGGATGACTTTAGAAACCCGTTGAACCCAGGAGCAAAATGCTCCTAAGGGAAACCCTTTCCCTCCCCTCTGTGGGTGAAGAGGGATGGGTTGTAGCCCTCCCTTCTCTGAATCTTCAGCTGAAAGGGATGGCAGAATAGAGAGGTGGGGGAATAATAGGATTTATAACTTGTGAAAAGTAACAATTCCCCAAGTGCAGGCTGTGCTGGGCAGGAACAAAGGGCAGCTCTGCCCACAGACCCCTCATTTACAATTCTGATGGGGCATGAAAGAGCCCGACTGGGGAAGATCTTTATAGCTAAACTTTGTCCCAGGTCGGTAGCTCTTTCTCTCCATCTCCTCCGTGGGGGAGGGGAGAGCCTTTGCAGACTGGGGGCTGTTGGCTTGGGTCTGCCTTTTGTTCTTATCTAAGCCTTGCTGTGCAAAAGGAAATTGGAGAATATTTTCCTTCTTGCTAATGTCCCCTGCTTTCCTTCACTGTGCCCTTACCCCATTACAAATGAATCAGCTTTCTGCTCACCTCGATTTGTTTATATCTAAATTGGAAAAATGTCCACCTACCTTCCCAAGCACCAGCATAGACAGCTGAAGCTGTAGGGTCTATGTTTACGTTTCTCATGGGATGTGTTTCTTCTCTTGATCTCTTTTCTTGGACAGAGAATGAAGAAATCGATGTTGTGACAGTAGAGAAGAGGCAGTCTCTGGGTATTCGGAAGCCAGTCACCATCACGGTGCGAGCAGACCCCCTGGATCCCTGCATGAAGCATTTCCACATCTCCATCCATCAGCAACAGCACAACTATGCTGCCCGTTTTCCTCCAGAAAGCTGCTCCCAAGAAGAGGCTTCAGAGAGGGGTCCCCAAGAAGAGGCTCTGGAGAGAGATGCTGCAGGGGAAAAGGAAGAGGAGGAGGATGAAGAGATTGTGAGCCCCCCACCTGTAGAAAGTGAGGCTGCCCAGTCCTGCCACCCCAAACCTGTCAGTTCTGATACTGAGGATGTGACCAAGAGGAAGAACCACAACTTCCTGGAGCGCAAGAGGCGGAATGACCTGCGTTCGCGATTCTTGGCCCTGAGGGACCAGGTGCCCACCCTGGCCAGCTGCTCTAAGGCCCCCAAAGTAGTGATCCTAAGCAAGGCCTTGGAATACTTGCAAGCCCTGGTGGGGGCTGAGAAGAGGATGGCTACAGAGAAAAGGCAGCTCCGATGCCGGCAGCAGCAATTGCAGAAAAGAATTGCATACCTCAGTGGCTACTAACTGACCAAAAAACCTGACAGTTCTGTCTTACAAAGACACAAGTTTATTTTTTAACCTCCTTCTCCGCTTTAGTAATTTGCACATTTTGGTTATGGTGGGACAGTCTGGACAATAGATCCCAGAATGCATTGCAGCCGGTGCACACACAATAAAGGCTTGCATTCTTGGAAACCTTGAAACACAGCTCTCCCTCTTCCCTGACTCATGGGAGTGCTGTATGTTCTCTGGCGCCTTTGGCTTCCCAGCAGGCAGCTGACTGAGGAGCCTTGGGGTCTGCCTAGCTCGCTAGCTCCGAAGAAAAGGCTGACAGATGCTATGCAACAGGTGGTGGATGTTGTCAGGGGCTCCAGCCTGCATGAAATCTCACACTCTGCATGAGCTTTAGGCTAGGAAAGGATGCTCCCAACTGGTGTCTCTGGGGTGACGCAAGGACAGCTGGGCCTGGATGCTCTCCCTGAGGCTCCTTTTTCCCGAAGACACACGAGCTGTCTTGGGTGAAGACAAGCTCGCAGACTTGATCAACATGGACCATTACCTCACTGTCAGACACTTTACAGTAGCCGAGGAGTTGGAAACCTTTAATATATATATTATGATGTTAGCTGACCCCCTTCCTCCCACTCTCAATGCTGCAACCCTGGGAACATTTAAAAAGCTTGGCCTCTAGATTCTTTGTCTCAGAGCCCTCTGAGCTCTCTCTTCTGAGGGAGGGACCTTTCTTTCCTTACAAGGGACTTTTTTGTTCCATTATGCCTTTGTTATGCAATGGGCTCTACAGCACCCTTTCCCACAGGTCAGAAATATTTCCCCAAGACACAGGGAAATGGGTCCTAGCCTGGGGCCTGGGGATAGCTTGGAGGCCTGGCTCATGAACTTGATCCCTGCCCAGGTATTTTCCGAGGGGCACTTGAGGTCCAATCTTTTCTCAAGGCAGGTGTAAGACACCTCAGAGGGAGAATGGCACTGCTGCCTCTCTCCCACCTGCCTCTCATCTCAATCCTTGACTGGCGAGTTTGAAGTTCTGGAACCATGCAAATCTATCCTTCTCATGCAACTCCAAGGAGCTTGCTGGCTCTGCAGCCACCCTTGGGCCCCCGCCAGTCTGCCATGAATCAGATCTCTTTTCCAGAATCTGGGACTTTCTGAAGTTTTGGGGGGAGCTGTTGGGACTCATCCAGTGCTCCAGAAGGTGGACTTGCTTCTGGTGGGTTTTAAAGGAGCCTCCAGGAGATATGCTTAGCCAACCATGATGGATTTTACCCCAGCTGGACTCGGCAGCTCCAGTGGAATCCACGTCCAGCCTCCGGTCTGGCGAAGTCACCCAACCTAGCAGTTGTCATGTGGGTAACCTCAGGCATCTCTAGGCCTGTCCTGGAAGAAGGACCAGCAGCCCTTCCAGAACTCTGCCCAGGACAGCAGGTGCCTGCTGGCTCTGGGTTTGGAAGTTGGGGTGGGTAGGGGGTGGTAAGTACTATATGTGGCTCTGGAAAACCAGCTGCTACTTCCAAATCTATTGTCCATAATGGTTTCTTTCTGAGGTTGGCCTCAAAGGACCCCAGGGGATGTTTGGAAATCGCCTCTCTACCCTTCTGGAGCATGGTTTACAAAAGCCAGCTGACTTCTGGAACTGTCTATGGCAGACAGTTTGGATGTAGGTTACTGATGTCTCACCTGAATAGCTTGTGTTTTATAAGCTGCTGTTGGGTATTCTGCTGGGGGGAGTCTTTTTTTTTTATATTGTATTTTTGTATGCCTTTTGCAAAGTGGTGTTAACTGTTTTTGTACAAGAAAAAAAACTCTTGGGCAATTTTCCCGTTGCAAGGGTCTGATTTATTTTGAAAGGCAAGTTCACCTGAAATTTTGTATTTAGTTGTGATTATTGATTGCCTGATTTTCAAATGTTGCCTTCTGGGACATCTTCTAATAAAAGATTTCTCAAACATGTCAGAGTGGGGGCAGCTTATGCCACCTGAGTCCTCCTCAACCACGGAAAACTATTTCAGGGTAGCCACAAGTGATCCAGAGGGCTGCATTTCTCTAACCATGTTGCTAACCTGGTCATTCCACTCTGGGTTCCTGAAATGCCATTTCAGACATGTTGAAACAATGTAGGCTCAGTACTCAGTGAACACGGAATTCTCTTGTGAATTGCAAAGAGTGCTGAATTTGTACTTTAGAAGGCTTGAAATCCTGGCTCCACTACTTCTGTGGCCTTTAGCTTTATCTTTCTGAGTCCTAGTTTCCTTATCAGTAAAATGGGGATAAATGCTACTTCACTGGGTTTTTGCAGGTATTGAATAAAGTGGTAGACTTTAAACTGCTTTCTAAACTATAAAGCCTTATACTCTTTAGGGTGGTGTTATTCTTATCTTAGTGGTATTATGACCTTCTGCAAGACGTGTTTTAAACATTTTTCTGAGAATTTATGTTGCAATGTACTTTTTTCTTACAGAAAGATAGTTTTAAAATTCTTTCTCCTGGCTGGGTGCAGTGGCTTATGCCTGTAATCCCAGCACTTTGGGAGGCTGAGGCAGGCAGACTGCTTGGGCTCAGGAGTTCGAGACCAGCCTAGGCAACATGGCGAAAATGCATGTCTATAAAAAATACAAAAATTAGCCTTATAGTCCCAACCACTCAGGAGGCTGAGGTGGGAGGATGGCTTGAGCCTGGGAGGCAGAGGTTGCAGTGAGCCGAGATTGCGCCACTGCACTCCAGCCTGGGCAACAGAGCCAGACCTTGTCTCAAAAAACATTCTTCCTCCCTTAATTAATGAAATAAAGTTTAAGCTTCGTTTTCCTCCCACAGTTCTCATAAACTTGCTGTAAATGCAAGAGAGGGGAATTCAGTAATAGCTGTTCCTCATAGGTCGCTGCTTATTTCTGAACACTCTGCCATATCAACCATGTGTCAGGGCTACAGATGAAGAAACTGAGGTTCTAAGAGTAAACAAAGCTATGCAAATTCACAAGCTTGTAAGTAAGTTGTGATTTGAAACCAGCTCTGCCTATCTCCAGAGCGAGAGGTCTTAGTCACTACATTATGATGAACAGCTTGTTTGTTAGCATCAGGTATGTGGAGGAGGTAAACATGGAATTCTATCATTTAACTGCTCATTGAAACTCTCTCTTTGGGGCTATTGTGCCTGCCACTTATTGGGATGAAATGGAGCAAATGTCCCATGACCAGCAACTCTGAGGCATATGTGTGCTGGGTGGGATAGTCTTGCTGCCAAGGGGCCCCATCTGGGACTGAAAAGAAAACAGTTGCTGTTCAGGATGGCCATGAGCATCACGGTGAAAGACGCCTCCACTAACTCCTCCTTACAGATGGGACTTGGGTTGGTATTGCCCACCCAGATTCCTATGGAGCCTCAGTAGGGTCAAAAAGCTTCTCTTAAAAAAAGCTTCACATTTACAAAGTGACCCTCTTGTGACCCTCCAACCTGGTAAGTAAACAATATCTGCCTGATGGTTCTGGAGCCCAGAGAGTTTTCTTGCTCAAAGCCATGTAGCAAAATCAGGATCCCAAGCCCAGTCTCCTATCAGGTAAGCTTTTTCCACTTAGTCCCCCACTGCACATAGGTAACAAACTTAGAACCTAAGAAGCTGTTCGGTAAAACTGACATGGATTATTGGAACTCTTTTCTTAAAACTCCCAGTATATTTATCTTCCTTTTTTGAGGCCATTAGTCAAGGGTCTGGTTTGTAGGACATATCTCCCTTTATTGGACCTTGAAAGAATTCAATAACATTGTTGAAAGCGCTTAGTACAATAGTATGGACCCATGGGTACAGGCATGAATGTTAGTAGTTTTGGGTATCTTAATTCTTACAATAACCTGGAGAGCAGGATGCCGTCAGCCCCATTTCACAGAGAAGCCAACTGAAGCTCAGAGACATTTAAGTCGTTTGTCTAAACCCACACAGCTAGTACCAGCTGCCTGACTCCAAGCTTCAGCTCTTTTGAGTCAACTCTGCTGAGAAAGGAGTGGGAATAAAGCCATCTCCTGGGGGAAGGGAGGGTGTTTCTGGAATGTGAAGTATTTTAAGCTCTTTCCTAGCTCATTTCTACAGACTCCTACCTCTATCTCTGTCTGAAAATAGTCAGGAGTTTATTCCTGGATTTCAGAGGACGATTTCTACAAATTAGGTTTGCCTCTGAATAATGCACCGAAGGGATCACACTCCCAACTCAGGACATAGACAATATGGGGTGACCCAGAAGCCACACTTGGTGTAGCAAAGAGAGAAGGACATCATCTCTGTTAGACAAAAAAAAAGGCTAAAGTGTATGTTTAACTTCTGCCTCTGTTGGCAGTTATTTTGGGGAACTGAGACAGGTTGAAGTATCTTAGATGTGCTGAATTTGTCTACAGTGCTCCCAAGGTCAGGATATTCCAAAATATTAACTTTAAAAGGGGAAAAAGAGGATGGGGATGACTTTGCTGATCTGTGATAGTGATAGGAGGGAGTGTGAGAGAGGTTTCTTTTAAGGATAAGATAACCAGCTGGGAGATGATTGATGACCGGGTGACTGGGAAGGGGGAAGGAGGAGGTGTCTAAATGTGTCAGCTAGAGTTCTGTTGGTTGGTGTGTGGGCATTTCTACCGTAAGCCCAGTGGGCGGCTTTTGTTAATGTCTGTTTATTTATACTCCTGGCCAAAGGGAGCAACTGTATTAATGTTACCATTTTCTTGGCAAGGAAATGTAATATTTAAAAAAGAAAGTCTCTAATCAGGTGTGTTATTAAATGATTAGGCTCAGTGCCAAGGGTCCAGGAGGTGCCCAGTAAATAATGGATTGCCTTTAAACTTGTGGGAAGCAATATGATTAAGTGGTCACCACATCCAACAGGTCTCAGTTCCAAATCTTGGCCCTGCATTTTCTAGCATTTTCTTGACCTTGGGCAAATTATTAACCTCTCCTAACCCTAGTTTTCTTATCTATAAAATAGGTAGAAATAATAGCATGCACTTCAGTGGGTTGTCAGAGCAATAGTAAGTGCTCAGTAAATGATTAGTATTATTTAAACCATGTTAACAAGCCACACCTAGAATACAGATTAGTCATATGTGAAAGGTGATAGAAGGATAAGAAATCTTCCCAGAGTGCACATATTGATGCTTCAAGAGGTGGTAAATTATTAGGGAAGAAATAGCCAGGTTTGGGGAGCTTGAGATAGGCAGTGGAGGAAGGAGGGCAAAGACTGGAGCCTCAGACTAGTTCACAGCCTCCACAGCCCATAGCCAGCAGAGGTTGTATATCAGCAAAGCCATTGCACATACAAACCCTCTACTTTTCCTTACAGGGCACTGTAGTGCCTTTAGACTGAGCTAGAGTCAACTGACTCCATGTAGTCATTAATGCCTATATTATTAAGACAGTGATTCTCAAACCTGAGTGTGTCTCAAGAATCTACCCATCTGGCCAGACGCAGTGGCTTATGCCTGTAATCCCAACACTTTGAGAGGCTGAGGACGGCGGATCACGAGGTCAGGAGTTCGTGATCAACATGACCAACATGGTGAAACCCTGTCTCTACTGAAAACAAAAATTAGCCAGGCATGATGTCGTGTACCTGTAATCCTAGCCACTCAGGAGGCTGAGGCAGGAGAATCACTTGAACCTGGGAGGCAGAGGTTGCAGTGAGCTGAGTGCCATTGCACTCCAGCTTGGGGGTGACAGAACGAACCTCAGCCAAAAAAAAAAAAAAAAAAAAAGAATCTACCCACCCTAGGTCAGGGCCAGGAATCTGCAGTGCTAACAAGCAAGCAGGGAGGTGAATTCCTGAGTCCACACTGAGACAAACATTGATATAAGGAGTTGGAGCCCAGGTTTTGCAAAGATAAAAAGTATTCACAGAAGGTGGTGTAGATGCCATGGTTAAGAACTTGGGGCCAGGCACAGTGGCTCATGACTGTAATCCCAGCACTTTGGGAGGTGGAGGTGGGAAGATCACATGAGTTCAGGAGCTTGAGACCAGCCTGGGCAACATAGCAAAATCCCATTTCTACTAAGAAATTAAAAAAAAAAAGTCTGGCAAGAAGGCTTGTGCCTGTAGTCCCAGCTACTCCGGAGGCTGATGCTGAGGTGGGAGGATCACTTGAGCCCAGGATTTTGAGGAGGCTGCAGTGAGTTATAATTGTGCCACTTTACTTCACTCCAGCCTGAGTGACAGAGTGAGACCGTATCTCTAAAACAACAACAACAACAAGAAAAAACAAGGACTTGGGATTACTACCTGTGTGATGTTGGGCAAATCGCTCAACCTCTCTGAGTCCTACAAGTAGCCTTCTTCTGTAAAATGGAGATAATTATATCTATGCCACAGGACTGTTGTGAAGATTAAAGGAGCTGTTACATGTAAAGTGCTTAGAACAGTGCCAGTTACATAGTGAGAGCAATATGTTTGCAATGATACATGAAACTATGGTTCCTTCCTTCTGGAAGTTTATGAGCATGGAAACATGATCAGAAAATATTCTGGTCTGAAGTAATATAACAAAAAGATTACAAACATGATCACAAAATAAGGCAATATGTGTCTCAAAAAGTGCTATGAGCCTCAGAAAGGGAAGAGAACATTTTGTTTGGAGTCATCATGAAAGTTTTTGTTGGAAATTGTGACATTGACCAGAACTAGAAGTACCGGTAGTATTTGGCTAAGTGAAACGAAGAATGTTCTAGGCTAAGAGAATAGCTCTGGGGAAGAGCAGTTAAGAAGGTTGTGTCAAATCTGGGGATAGGGGAGAAATCTGGTCTGATGTGCTGGCTGGGTAGTCTCATTTTTACAAAATAAGGAGGATTGCACTAGATTTCTAAGGGGATCCTTTCAAGAGCAAACATCCTCTTTGAAATAGGGAAGTCAGGGGAAGAAACTGATTGTGGTTTGGGACATGATGAAATTAAGGTGATGGGGTCATCCGAAATGAAGTACCCAGCAAGTTGAAAATGTGATACCGAGGCTTTAGAAAGGGATTTGAATGCAAGATACAGGCTTGAGACTTATCAGGATATAAAGATGGCAGGGTAAAGTGGCTCATGCCTGTAATCCCAGCACTTTGGGAGGCTGAGGCAGAAGGATCACTTGAGGCCAAGAGTTCAAGACCAGGTTGGGCAACGTAGTAAGACCCTGTCTCTACAAAAGAAAAACAAATTAATTAAGAAGCTGTTATCCTTTTTTTTTTTTTTTTCTAGACAGAGTCTTGCTCTGTCACACAAGCTGGAGTGCAGTGGCACAATCTCAGCTCACTGCAACCTCTGCCTCCCAGGTTCTAGTGATTCTCCTGCCTCAGCCTCCCAAGTAGCTGGGATTACAGACGTAATCCCACCACCATGCCCAGCTAATTTTTGTGTTTTTAGTAGAGATGGGGTTTCACTATATTGGCCAGGCTGGCCTCGAACTCCTGACCTCAGGTA